GAATGAGTGAAAGAGAAATAGCAGGAGTAACAAGAATTGCAGGCAACACTGTTTGAAAAGGGTTCCTCCCCTCTCCTTCCCCCCCCCCTCTCCCTCTCTCTCACGGCAGCTGTCCCTTTCAAGTGATCAAATGTTGCTTGAGAAATCAGCAGGGGAAAAAAACCCTCCACATTTTTCTGCTGATCGTCCTTTTCTGAAGGGACACTTGAAAGGGACAGGCTGTGCTTTTTCTATTGTAAGCACATGCTTCCCACAATCTTCCAGAATTGCCTGCAATTCTTGTTACTGTGAGAGGCTGAATGCTGCTTCTGGGCAGAGGAGGCTCAGTCCCCTTACCTGGTTGCCCTCTACTGTGTGTGTGTGTGTGTGTGTGTGTGTGTGTGTGTGTGTGTGTGTGTGAGAGAGAGAGAGAGAGAGAGAGAGAGAAATGGCCAAGAGGAAACCCTTTCAAACAATGTTCCTGCAATGCTGTTACTCCCCTCCGCTGTTTCCCTCCCTCCCCCCCCTCACACACACACACACAGACATTTAATTGCTTGAAAGGGACAGCCTGTGCTTTTCTTCTACTATAAGCATACGCTTCCCACAATCTTCCAGAATTGCCTGCCAATCGCCCTTTTCTCAAGCAGCAGCAGCAGCCAGGTAGAGGCTTGGGGGGGGGAGCCGATTCTGACGAGCCGCATGGTTTTCTGCCTCATTGTAGCAGCAGCCTGAGCAACACCCGAGCTCCAGACCTAATGGAGTGCAAACCATGGTCACCACCTACTTCAGAGCCGCAAGGTGAGCTGCAGAACAGAGGGGCCCTTGGCTGTGAGGATGCCTGGCACTGTGGGCAGGACTGGGGCTAACAAGAATGCACCGGAAATATCTCCAGGCGCCTAAAAAAACAGAATTCTCAGCCCTCGCTGGCTCAGATGATTAAAAGGCCGAGCAGCCATGAGATGACCAGAGAAGGGAAGGGCTTCCTACTGTGCCATGCCCACCCACTTCACTAGGGGCATTTTGGGGCTAGGTTGTATTTGAGTTTGGCTAGAGTTGCCTCAAGATCTCTTACTTTTTTCTCTAGTAGTTCACATAGCTTACATTTAATATATTTATAATTTGGGTGTTCTTTGGACATAAGCACAAACATGTAAGATATGTTGCATACCACAATAGTATCAGTCACCTGTTCCATGAGTTTGTTTCTTTTTGCTGGTTCTTTTAGAGGTAAAAAAAAGTATGGATTTTTGCTATCCTTTTTCTCCCTTTGTGCTTGTTTTCTACCTTGTTATTTATTTAACTGGCTTATGTTAATTTTATTTATCCTTTTATTCCCTATATATTTTTAAAGTTTTTGAACTGCAATTTCTCCCTACCTTCTTATTTAAGATTTGCCTTATTTATTTGATTGACCTTATTCTTCCTTGATTTCTAGTGTTCCACTCTTGTCCTTATCATTTGCCTATTTATTTTGCCTATTTATAATGCCTGTGTTGTTCACTGCTCTGGCCTCTTGTTTTCTTTGCAACTCCATTCTGTCTTTCGATACTCAGGTCTTTTTGGCCTTGTCTCTACTCTGGTCAGTTCTTTTGGCCTGCTGTTCAGCTTTCCGATTGGCTCAGCTCCATTATATGGTCTACTCTCTGCCTGCCGCTCAGCTCCACCGTCTCTTTCTCCATTATGCACTGCTCTCAGGCTCAATCTCGCTGTGCTGCCCCTTACTGTTGCTACACTGCCACTGCTTTTTGCTCTGCAGCCATGTGGGCCCCATTTGCTGGTCCGTCATGCTGGGGACACTGCAAACAGGATTGCCTGGATGATCCCCAGCAAGCTTGCCTCTCCTCTCCCTCCTCCCTGCTTCGCTCTCTCACCTGCTCGCCTCTTTGTTCTCTATCAGTCATTGTACTGCCCTCTGTCTGTGGCCTCTCCATCCCAATGCTGATTTTCTTCCCTGCTCTGCAGCTGGCCCCACTCACTCACTGCCAATTGGTTTTGCTGTCCTCAGTCCATTTGCCTCTCCATTCACCTCATTTCAATGGACCTCCCGTCTCTTGGGTAGTTTCAAAGTTTAATAACACTTGTATGCCGCCCAATCCCGTAGGACTCCGGGCGGCTCACAATACAAATAAATCAAAAGGCATAGAAAAAAAGAAAAACACACCAGTAAGTAAGAAAAGAACTGGGATCACACAGCGTGTACTGCAGTGGTAGTCAACCTGGTCCCTACCGCCCACTAGTGG